CATCATGGGCTTGGCATCCCTAGTTTTGAAGGTTCTCATTATCCATCCTGTCATTTTTCTAGTAGATGCGATTGATACACTGTTATGGTCCTTGAAGGTGAGATCCTCCGACATGATCACTCCCAGGTCTTTGACGTTGGTGTTTCGCTCTATTTTGTGGCCAGAATTTGTTTTGTACTCTGATGAAGATTTAATTTCCTCGTGTTTACTATATCTGAGTAATTGAAATTTCTCATCGTTGAACTTCATATTGTTTTCTGCAGCCCACTGAAAGATTTGGTTGATGTCCGCCTGGAGCCTTGCAGTGTCTGCAATGGAAGACACTGTCATGCAGATTCGGGTGTCATCTGCAAATGAAGACACGGTGATGTGGCTGACATCCTTGTCTATGTCAGATATGAGGATGAGGAACAAGATGGGAGCGAGTACTGTGCCTTGTGGAACAGAGCTCTTCACCGTAGCTGCCTTGGACTTTACTCTGTTGACTACTACTCTGTGTTCTGTTAGTGAGGAAATTATAGATCCATCGACCGACTTTTCCTGTTATTCCTTTAGCACGCATTTTGTGCGCTATTACGCCATGGTCACACTTGTCGAAGGCTTTTGCAAAGTCTGTATATATTACATCTGCATTCTTTTTGTCTTCTAGTGCATCTAGGACCTTGTCGTAGTGATCCAATAGTTGAGACAGACAGGAGCGACCTGTTCTAAACCCATGTTGCCCTGGGTTGTGTAATTGATGGGTTTCTAGATGGGTGGTGATCTTGCTTCTTAGGACCCTTTCAAAGATTTTTATATGGGATGTTAGTGCTATCGGTCTGTAGTTCTTTGCTATTGCTTTACTGCCCCCTTTGTGGAATGGGGCTATGTCTGTTGTTTTCAGCAACTGTGGGACGACCCCCGTGTCCATGCTCCCTCTCCATAGGATGGTAAAAGCTCGTGATAGGGGCTTCTTGCAGTTCTTGATGAACACAGAGTTCCACGAGTCTGGCCCTGGGGCAGAGTGCATGGGCATGTCATTTATCGCCTGTTCGAAGTCATTTGGCGTCAGGATAACATCAGATAGACTTGTGTTAACCAAATTCTGTGGCTCTCTCATAAAAAAATCATTTTGATCTTCGACTCTCAGTCTGGTTAGCGGCTTGCTAAAAACTGAGTCATATTGGGACTTGAGTAGCTCACTCATTTCCTTGCTGTCATCTGTGTAGGACCAGCCGGGCTGTGGCTCGTACGTTGGTTTGCGTGCAGCCAGCAGTAACAGCCTGGTTGATCAGGCTCTGATCCACCAGGAGGCCTGGTCACAGACCAGGCCGCGGGGGCGTTGACCCCCGGAACTCTCTCCAGGTAAACTCCAGGTAAGTAGGGGCCCAATACTGGACGTTGTTCTCGACTTTGATTTGGCATAGGAGAAGAAGTACTTTGGGTTTCTTTCGATTTCATTTATGGCTTTTAGTTCTTCCCGCGATTCCTGACTCCTATAAGATTCCTTTAGCTTAAGTTCGATGCTTGCTATTTCTCTGACCAGTGTCTCCCTACGCATTTCAGATATATGGACCTCTTTTAGCCGCTCTGTTATTCTTTTCCGTCGCCTGTAAAGGGAGCGCCTGTCTCTTTCTATTTTACATCTACTCCTCCTTTTTCTTAGAGGAATAAGCCTTGTGCATACATCGAGTGCCACCGAGTTAATCTGTTCTAGGCACAAGTTGGGGTCTGTGTTGCTTAGTATATCTTCGCAGCTTATATCGGTTAGGACTTGGTTTACTTGGTCCCACTTTATGTTTTTGTTATTGAAGTTGAATTTGGCGAATGCTCCCTCGTGACTAATCTCATTTTGTCGGTCTGGGGCTCTGAGCAAACATGTCTGAACCTCAATTATGTTGTGATCTGAGTATATTGTTTTTGATATGGTGACATTTCGTATCAGATCATCATTGTTAGTGAAGATGAGGTCTAGAGTATTCTCCAGTCTAGTAGGCTCTATTATTTGCTGGTTTAAATTGAATTTTGTGCAGAGATTTAAAAGTTCGTGTGAGTGTGAGTTTTCATCAGAGCTGCCTCCTGGTGTTATTACTGCAACAATATTATTTGCTATATTCCTCCATTTTAGGTGCCTTAAGTTGAAATCCCCCAGGAGCAAGATGTTGGGTGCAGGAGCTGGTAGATTTTCCAGACAGTGGTCAATTTTTAACAGCTGTTCCTGGAATTGCTGGGATGTTGCATCCGGAGGCTTGTAGACTACCACAATGACTAGGTTTTGGTTCTCGATCTTTATTGCTAAAACTTCCACTACATCATTTGAGGCATTAAGCAGTTCTGTGCAGACAAGTGACTCTGCAATGTACAGGCCAACCCCCCCCCCTTTTGCCTGTTCACTCTGTCGCATCTGTATAGGTTGTAACCTGGGATCCATATTTCGTTGTCCAAGTGATCCTTTATGTGGGTCTCAGTGAAAGCCGCGAACATTGCCTTTGCTTCTGCAAGGAGTCCACAAATGAAAGGTATTTTGTTGTTTGTTGCTGGCTTTAGACCCTGTATATTTGCAAAGAAGAATGTCATCGGACTGGTGGTATTGTTGGTACTGGGGGGAATATTTTTTTTCCGGCATTAGTATCTGTATCTGTTGGTTTGGAGTTGAGGCCATCGACTGTGGTTCCACTCCAGGAATGACTGGATTTGGTGTACGATTTCTGCCATTACCTGCCAGTTTTTTTTTCCTTCCTGGCACTAAAAAACCTCTCCCATTTGAGTGGCTGTGGCTACCCAGGTTTTCCCATGGCCTGGATGTTTTGTATCTTTTTGTCCCCTTTAGATGGTGTGCCTGGCAATTTAAGTTATAGCGCAGTCTTTCCTGTACTGAAGAGGTACACATTTCAGGGTGAAAAAGCTTACAAGAAGGGAGGTTGCATTTTCCTGTTGTCATATGGGCACGACATTTTCTAGGGTGATCATAGTTGCACGTCCCATCTGTTTTTCCAGATTTCCCATGTCTGCAGATACCAAGTGCATAGTATGTGCACAGGCTTGGTTTCCGTTTGCCTTGAGTTTCTGTGACTGTATACCCTGTTGGTGCATGTTTACCTGTCTTATTCCTACCCTCCCTAGCACCAACAATGGAGCTCCCACCAGTTGTTTTTGGTAATATATCCTCACTATTGCTAGTGGAGTCCTCTTGTTTGCTATTTCCTGTGGTATTTCTAGTTTGCAATATTGGTTTTATCTTATCTTTGACTACACTTGTTTCCCCACTACGGCTCCTGTCTCCCATGAGGTCATTTATATGCATTCCTTCCTGGAGTTTACCTGGAGTTTACCTGGAGAGAGTTCCGGGGGTCAACGCCCCCGCGGCCCGGTCTGTGACCAGGCCTCCTGGTGGATCAGAGCCTGATCAACCTGGCTGTTGCTGCTGGCTGCACGCAAACCAACGTACGAGCCACAGCCCGGCTGATCAGGAACTGACTTTAGGTGCTTGTCCAGTGCCAGCTTGAAGACTGCCAGGGGTCTGTTGGTAATCCCCCTTATGTGTGCTGGGAGGCAGTTGAACAGTCTCGGGCCCCTGACACTTATTGTATGGTCTCTCCTGCGTATAATTCCCGACTACCTGGACAAAATCTCCAGCTTCACCATTATTGTCTACCAGGACAGCACTATCAGCCCCACATTTACTGACTACCAGGACATCACCTCCAGCCTTACAGTTTCTGACTACATGGCCAGTATCAAGGGCAGTACCATTCAGCCCAGACTTTTTATGTTCCCATCTGTTGTAGAAAGCCTCCAGGTTGTCTATGAAAGCAGCTTTGATGTTATCCTCTTTTAATACCAATGTGATTTTAGTCAACAGATTTATCTCATTTGGGCATACCCAAAAACACTTCCCTGTTTTAATACTGCTTGTAGCTAGTTCTTGGATATCTGCACAAGGGGCGTGACACCAGTTTCCACAAAAATGACAATTTATCCATGTGGAAGCCCGTTTGTTTGCTTGACTGCAGACTACACAGGGTTTCATAATGATTTGAATGGTTGATTTACTGTAATTCTACTAGCAACCTCTTGAATACTCTATTAATAACCTCCTTAAAGTGAAGCTCTAGCTATTTGTATTTCTATTTCTAACTGTACTTGTATATTAGGACAGCTTACCGGTGTATGTTCCTGATTTATATTTATTGTTTGTGTTTGATAAGGGCGCCTACAACTCCATCCGTTTACAGTCTGCTTTATTGTCCAACGAATCCGTTTGAAACCGGTCGAGGGTTCGGACCACTCGAGGGTTCGACCAGTCAAGGGTTCGGAACCAGTCTGATCTGATCAGTGGGTCACTTATTTAAAACATACTGGGCTAACACATGAAGGATCTACTGGAAATTATCTACCCAAGTAATATGTGATTTGATTGATACAAAAGTATAACTTGCGTGTTGAAGAACCGGTGATTGCTGGCAGCTCCTACAATGACGAACAGTCGAGCCTCAGCCCTTGTTTATCGATCACTGTATCTAGCTTTTCTAGGCTTTTTCCGCCTCCACCACAATAAATGCTATATTATCACTATAGTTGACTGGTGGAAATTTTGGAGGAAAGACGCTTTTTCTGTAGTAATATTTGCTTCTCGTTGTGTATATTGCGACCGCTGGTAACTACAGGTTATATGAAATTCACAGTATACGTCTGGTATTTCAAGAAAAAAGAAACCAATGAAAGTCACTCCACTCCACTAAGTACCATTATAATACTGGTTAGTTGCTACTACAACACTGTATTCTGCTATTCACTGGTATCACTAGATTATATGCGAGTACACTAGCAGGCGAGGAAGATTATTAAAACAGCTGACCAGTGTGGTAAGTTTCTGGCGACTTCTGGCACCTGCCTCTATAGGCTTATCACTTCATTTACAAATTCACCTGTTTTCAAATGACACTTTAGCATTTCTTATCCATATACTAGGGAGCCACTGTAGTATACACTAATATATGAACCTATATCACGCATTCAAGGGGCCCACAACATTCACAAGGGACATGCTGTCTGTGATGGAGAGGAAGAGCTGCACTGTGACTCATGGGGACCAGTTAGAGAGGAAGAGCTGCACTGTGACTCATGGGGACCAGTTAGAGAGGAAGAGCTGCACTGTGACTCATGGGGACCAGTTAGAGAGGAAGAGCTGCACTGTGACTCATGGGGACCAGTTAGAGAGGAAGAGCTGCACTGTGACTCATGGGGACCAGTTAGAGAGGAAGAGCTGCACTGTGACTCATGGGGACCAGTTAGAGAGGAAGAGCTGCACTGTGACTCATGGGGACCAGTTAGAGAGGAAGAGCTGCACTGTGACTCTTGGAGACTAGTTAGAGAGGAAGAGCTGCACTGTGACTCTTGGAGACCAGTTAGAGAGGAAGAGCTGCACTGTGACTCATGGGGACCAGTTAGAGAGGAAGAGCTGCACTGTGACTCATGGGGACCAGTTAGAGAGGAAGAGCTACACTGTGACTCATGGGACCAGTTAGAGAGGAAGAGCTGACTGTGACTCATGGGGACCAGTTAGAGAGGAAGAGCTACACTGTGACTCTTGGGACCAGTTAGAGAGGAAGAGCTGCACTGTGACTCATGGGACCAGTTAGAGAGGAAGAGCTGCACTGTGACTCATGGGGACCAGTTAGAGAGGAAGAGCTGCACTGTGACTCATGGGGACCAGTTAGAGAGGAAGAGCTGCACTGTGACTCATGGGGACCAGTTAGAGAGGAAGAGCTACTGTGACTCATGGGGACCAGTTAGAGAGGAAGAGCTGCACTGTGACTCATGGGGACCAGTTAGAGAGGAAGAGCTACACTGTGACTCATGGGGACCAGTTAGAGAGGAAGAGCTGTACTGTGACTCATGGGGACCAGTTAGAGAGGAAGAGCTACACTGTGACTCATGGGGACCAGTTAGAGAGGAAGAGCTGTACTGTGACTCATGGGGACCAGTTAGAGAGGAAGAGCTGCACTGTGACTCATGGGGACCAGTTAGAGAGGAAGAGCTGCACTGTGACTCTTGGAGACCAGTTAGAGAGGAAGAGCTGCACTGTGACTCATGGAGACCAGTTAGAGAGGAAGAGCTGCACTGTGACTCTTGGAGACCAGTTAGAGAGGAAGAGCTGCACTGTGACTCTTGGAGACCAGTTAGAGAGGAAGAGCTGCACTGTGACTCATGGGGACCAGTTAGAGAGGAAGAGCTGCACTGTGACTCATGGGGACCAGTTAGAGAGGAAGAGCTACACTGTGACTCATGGGGACCAGTTAGAGAGGAAGAGCTGCACTGTGACTCATGGGGACCAGTTAGAGAGGAAGAGCTGCACTGTGACTCATGGGGACCAGTTAGAGAGGAAGAGCTGCACTGTGACTCATGGGGACCAGTTAGAGAGGAAGAGCTGTACTGTGGCTCATGGGGACCAGTTAGAGAGGAAGAGCTGCACTGTGACTCATGGGGACCAGTTAGAGAGGAAGAGCTGCACTGTGACTTATGGGGACCAGTTAGAAAGGAAGAGCTGCACTGTGACTCATGGGGACCAGTTAGAGAGGAAGAGCTACACTGTGACTCATGGGGACCAGTTAGAAAGGAAGAGCTGCACTGTGACTCATGGGGACCAGTTAGAGAGGAAGAGCTGTACTGTGACTCATGGGGACCAGTTAGAAAGGAAGAGCTGCACTGTGACTCATGGGGACCAGTTAGAGAGGAAGAGCTGCACTGTGACTCATGGGGACCAGTTAGAAAGGAAGAGCTGCACTGTGACTCATGGGGACCAGTTAGAGAGGAAGAGCTACACTGTGACTCATGGGGACCAGTTAGAAAGGAAGAGCTGCACTGTGACTCATAGGGACCAGTTAGAGAGGAAGAGCTACACTGTGACTCATGGGGACCAGTTAGAGAGGAAGAGCTGCACTGTGACTCATAGGGACCAGTTAGAGAGGAAGAGCTGCACTGTGACTCTTGGAGACCAGTTAGAGAGGAAGAGCTGCACTGTGACTCTTGGAGACCAGTTAGAGAGGAAGAGCTGCACTGTGACTCATGGGGACCAGTTAGAGAGGAAGAGCTGCACTGTGACTCATAGGGACCAGTTAGAGAGGAAGAGCTGCACTGTGACTCTTGGAGACCAGTTAGAGCCTTCTCACTTCTCCCTCTCCTTGTTTTAAACACCAGTACCCCTTACACAGTTAGATTCCCACACCCATGCTCTCTCTTGGATAAATCTCTACATGCTCTTCTTATTTAGCACTGGACTTTAACTGGTCAGTAGTTAATGATCTTTATGACAGCCATCATTTCTCTTCTTTGTCGCTCCCTCTGCAGATGAGTTATTACAAATCTTTACCAGCTCTGTTCTCTCTGAAGCCACAATTGCAATCTCCCTCAAACCTCGGGTAAAATTACAAAAAAAGTATCCAGATGGTTTCCTAGCTGCACTTGTGCTGTGTCTGCAACAATGCGGGGCCGCTACCATGATAACAGATCTTCGAATCGGTTCTTAGCTTTTAAACAAATGAGATATGCCATCATGTCATGAACATCGGAAAATGAAAATGAACTTGTTGACTGGCTTACGTATTCATTGTAACCAACCTTACTTCTATACGTGGGGTACACAGCACCGTATGACCAACAGTGGTCGAGAACTTTTTTTTTATATAAGAATAATACAGAGTACTTCCTTTTTGGTTATAAAAATATTATATGTGCTGTCTGGAAAAAAAAGGGATGAAAGTTAGCCGGAAAAAACCCTCTTAGACCCGGCTCTTGTTCTTAGAGTTGCTAGTAAAATTTCTCAGAGCGTGTTTAAATTGCTATAGCAATTTAAATAGGGAACTGCTAAATAAATCCTTCTTTGCCTACACTCATTTCTAACTGATCTAAACTAGACTGGAGGCACATATATTCCTCAGTCTTCCCTGCTAATTTTTCTTTACTTGATAATATTCATCAAGAATTACGTAAATGCCTCGGGGCTTTTCAATATTTCCCAGTCGAGAGTTTGTACAGAGGCAAAAACCCCATCTTTGCAAGATCACTGCGATATCCATTGTCTCCGTTATTTCGGACGTATTTAAGTATCAAAGGTTAATACCTTAATTGCAACTGGTTCTTTGTAATAATAATAATAATAATAATAATAATAATAATAATAATAATAATAATAATAATAATAATAATAATAATAATAATAATAATAATAAAAATATCTTTATTTCTACAAGTACATATACAAGGTATACAGGCCTAGCTGACATCCATGACTTGTTTTGCAGAGCATTTGGGGCAAATTAGGTCAATTTTGTCCCAGGTACCCATTTTACTGATGGGTGAGCAGGGACAACAAGGTGTAAGGAAACACACCCAGTATTTCCTCCCTTGCCGGGAGCAGAACCACGGACCCTCAGCATGTGAAGAGAGCTTTGCCTTCCAGTATCAATTGTGGCACGCTTATGTCACAAGCCAGACACGGGTATGGCAGGATTGAGTACACCTATAAATTCCATCTCGCACTAGTCTTCAGATGTATTACACAACTGATGAATAGGCAAAGGTATATATATGCCTTAGACTGTCAGTTAGCAGTCTGAGAAAAATAATATGAAAATAACTTCAACTGAGCTTCATGGACTTGACTGATACCAGTCAGTCTACCTATCATCATTCTATAACGCAGATGCCACATGTCTATGGCTCCGGCTGGGTTACAAGTATTTGGGTTACCAGTTGATGTAGACAACTAAATGTAAACTTTGCCAGATGGACAATTGTCACACCTTGCATTAATATATAATGGGATACGATAATATTAATGAATTCAAAGATAACTCGCTCACAAATGTTCAGGAAATGTCAAAGCATTTTATCCACAGTGGTATATTACCAACCATTCTGGAAAAATACCCTGATATAACCGCCAGTCTCCTTGCCTTTGCTCCAGATTCTCCTCCACCACGATGCTGTGAACACTAACTCCAAGGCTGAGGGACTGATTACCTCATCTTTTGTATGTATTTCTACTGTCTTCTAATTATGTCCTAGAATCTGTATTAATAAAACCACTGGATGGCCGAAACGTCTACAATAAAGATATCCAGATGTTGCACATGTGTCTTAACTTTCATATTGTCGGTATTTTATACCTTTCTTGCATATCTTAATTGTTACGAAAGTAAATTCTTAGGTGGCTTTGGGTAGTGGTGATTTTGATAAGGACCTGCCTTGTATGGGCCTTCTTTAGTGTTCCTCCATACTTATGTTCTTAATTAATCATTACCCTCACATACCCCTATGACTTTGCCAGCCGCTAACTTTTGCACACTCCTACCTTTGCACATCCTTACCCACAGCGCTGTATGATCCATACGGGTTTACCAGTTTAAATAATATTATTCTGCATTAATGAAACATACTACCTAAGTGAGCTTGCAATAAGCACATGATTAATACAAATATATAGTGCAGAGGGTGATAAAAGCTCTGCATGGATCAAGAGCCCTTTGCTAGCACCATAACGTCCCTTTGAAGGGCCTCGGTGTAATTTGAGTTTGTAAATTAGGAATTCTTTAAATGTTGCATCATTCTCCCTCCCCCCCCCCCCTTTTTTTTGCATTGTTGACGCATACTTCACTGACACGCTGTAACATCTTTGTGTTACTTCTTGTCTCTGGCGATGCTAGAGTAATTCATAAAAAGTGTGCTGTGGGGCCACTGCTAGTACAGTCATATTACTGATCACTATCTTTGTTGCAGTCAAGAGGTCACATTAACAGCTAAACTTACCTTTAAGTTTTAAACTACCCTTCAAGGGAGGTGACAGGATACCGCTGAAGAACTCTTGATTTCAGAACCTGGAACTACCTTTCCTTTCTCCGATCAGACCTGATTTGCCTCAAATTCCTCAAGTGTGAATGACCCGTACGGTTATAGAGCTTCTTCATGAATACAACAACTGTACCAATGATAGTCTTCAACTAGACTATGGAAAATATGTATAATACATTCCCTTGCATCGACAGTTTTTCTTTATGGACTAAATGTCATTAGCGTCCATGATTTACGTTGTATGTCTTGCGGCAATTTGGTAATTTCCAGTCGAGATCCTGAATGCTTAGTCAAGTATCCATGCACTGGGAGATTGATACCATTGTCTCCAATGTGTTTTTTTTTCTTCGTTTTCATAGCTTTGGTGATTCTCTTATCTATTCTTTATCATGTCCCTTTAATCGTTGCCTTTCTTTATCATGTCCCCATGGGAAGCCATGTGGTAGGTAATACGACTGCGCTTCTACCATTCATTTTCCGAACTCACATATCTTTGCTATGCACTACAGTTCTCTTTCTATAATTTCCAATTTCCCTCAGATGCTCTTGTTGGGTACATCCATAGCTCCAAGCGGGATATACTGCTGTTGTTTTTTACTCATGTTTTCCGAGGGTGACTACAGCAGTCGGATAAGTTTGTCATTAGAGTATTACATGCAATTTTCGCTACCGGCATTCACATTGCTTCCCTGTCCACATCATCATTTGTTGTAGTCTCAGACTCATAAATTATCATATTCATCGGGAGTCACCCTTCAAGAGGGTTGGATGCCTTGAAGCTGGTGAAGAGCTCATGCTAAAAGGAATTAGATTTACTCCTTTTCATTGTATCAAACTTGATTACCTTTTGTTTCCTATGATATGCTGTAAACCCCCCCCCCTACCCTACAGCAACAGAATAATAATAATAATAATAATAATATTACTAATACTACTACTACTACTACTACTACTACTACTACTAATAATAATAATAATAATAATAATAATTATTATTATTATTATTATTATTATTATTATTATTATTTATTATTTATTATTATTATTATAATCTTTACATCTCCCTGTCTACCTAGTTGTCTCCACGGTTTCTTTCATTTATAATAAAAAGAATATTTCCCACTTTTTCGGTGTTTCTGTGCTGTATGACAGATTTTTTTTTTAATTGCATGATTCGGGACCTTCGGAAAGTTTACCTTTTTATTCTGATTATTTCTCTGTCCTGACTCGTCACTTGGTATATTACTGGCAACGTTACTGGTTCTTATTAGTGGCCAATAAGTTGTTCATCATTATTTATATCAAACTTCTTCAGCGCCACTCTGCAAGAACTGTCAGGTCGAGCTAATATTCAGTGAAGGGTTACTACTAGCGGTTGTCAGAATTTTGTTTTAATTCTTTGACTTTTTGCTCTCTCTCTCTCTCTCTCTTTTTTTTTTTGAGAATGCCTCTTCTAAAGGAAAGTTTTGAGTGTTGTTGGGCTGAGCAGCTGCCGCCAATTTACCAAAATTTTATTTTCATTTTTATGCAATAATGTGATGCCTATTTTAATTAGTTTCTAACTTCTGAAGTTGTTGTACATAATCAGAGAAAGTTGTTATAACTTATTCAGAGGAAGTTGTTGTATCTTACTCAGAGGAAGTTGTTGTATCTTACTCAGAGGAAGTTGTTGTATCTTACTCAGAGAAAGTTGTTGTATCTTACTCAGAGGAAGTTGTTGTATCTTACTCAGAGGAAGTTGTTGTATCTTTACTCAGAGAAAGTTGTATTTTAAACTCAGAGAAATTTGGGTTGTATCTTACTCAGAGAAAGTTGTTGTATCTTACTCAGAGAAAGTTGTTGTATCTTACTCAGAAGAAGCTGTTGTATCTTAATCAGAGGAAGTTGTTGTATCTTACTCAGAGAAAGTTGTTGTATCTTACTCAAAGAAAGTTGTTGTATCTTACTCAGAGAAAGTTGTTGTATCTTACTCAGAGGAAGTTGTTGTATCTTACTCAGAGAAAGTTGTTGTATCTTACTCAGAGAAAGTTGTTGTATCTTACTCAGAGAAAGTTGTTGTATCTTACTCAGAGGAAGTTGTTGTATCTTACTCAGAGGAATTTTTGTATTTACTCAGAGAAAGTTGTTGAAATTTTAAATCGAGGAAGTTGTTTTATCTTACTCAGAGAAAGTTGTTGTATCTTACTCAGAGAAAGTTGTTGTATCTTACTCAGAGAAAGTTGTTGTATCTTACTCAGAGGAAGTTGTTGTATCTTACTCAGAGAAAGTTGTTGTATCTTACTCAGAGAAAGTTGCATCTTAGCTCGGACTGTTATTGAACTCTGAGTGCCAATTTGCTAATTTATTCTTAATTATTATAATCAGAGGGGAAACGCTAAATCTGTAGGGATCATACAGCACCTGAGGAAACGGATGCAATCATGTTTGATCTAAGGAAGGCTAGGACAAGTTCAATTCCCTGGATCAAGAGCCTCTTATTAGTATCAAGGAACCTCCCTTAAACGTAAACTAAATTTAATAATTTGTGTGATATGCTTTTCATTGCAATAACCCGAGAATGTCCCTTTTAATAGCCTAAAGTTTTAAACACAGTTTTGCGCTGTGTGGATTCAAATTTGCCAGTTTATTAGCCTAATTAAAAACGTGGATATTGTTGGCTTCCTTGTGGTAACTAGAGAATCTCTTTTCATCGGCTTCTCATTTTCAGTGTTGGTGTATTTTGCAAATGGGGGTATTGGTGTCTGCAATACTTGACAATACTTCTTCGTATTATCTTCAAACTTTCAACACTGATATATCCTATTAGCTCACTGCGCAGCAAACTAGCTTGTGTGAGTTTATAATCAGTCAATTAGTTTCCATGATATAATAGGGAGATCCCTGTCCCTGAAAACCGGTCTTAATTGTTAGTACTCTACAGAAGCTACGGAAAATGCCCACCAAGTTTCGGAAAGTGATTGCTTCCATAATTTTAGTGTTGACTGGGTTGAGATCTAGCTCCTAGGCCTCGGAGGGAAGTGATCAACAACTGTTTTGGCCTCTTACAGGTTCTGGGAAATTCTGGATTTTCTTAAATTCAGCATGTGTAAAATTTAATAATACAATAATTGTGTAATAAAATGTGATGTTGATTTGACCCTTTCGAGAAATTTCGATACGGGGGGGGGGGGAGGTAGAACAGCAGCAGAGGGACGCGGGGGAGAGACGCCATAATGAATTTTATGCGTGAACATTGGACTGAATTGTGCAATGTAATCAGGCGTTCTCGAAGATCATTTGGTGTATATCGGCCTCAACCCATAATTTAGAAATTGCTGACACGTTCCTACTGAAGAATAGTGTGGAAAACTTACAATTCGGCAACAAGGACGGAAAAACGGAGGACGCCAATCCTTCCCAGCAACACACCTTAGCTAATGACGCTTACCCATAATGAACAGTAGCTTTTGTGTTGGCCATCATAAATTCTAGCTGTAGTGGTAATGATAGGATGTGTTCCATCAGCATTAGGTTAATGTGTATAAAATGTATTGCCCTAATGATATGGTTAGGAGAAAACCTTCTCTAGTCTCTGTAAAAAATATACCCGTTAACCATTTCTAACAGTCAGGTCCTAAAATCATATACAATCCACATTAATTTATAATTTACCATTACTGGTATTAATGTTTAATATTGTAATTATTAATTTAATGTTAGGTCCAGCTTTTTTGTGGGAGTGGTAGGGAGTGGACATCGAGGGAGTGACAGTTTGGCGACGTACTATGACTAAGTCCCACTTACCTCACCCAGATTACAAGCAGGTAATAATTCAGGTAATTCCCTGCAAACCTTCTGCAGGTAATTTCCCAGATATGTATTGATTTAGTTTCTGGGTCTTCGGGTGGTGTTAAGTTACAGGAACAAGACTTCTTGTGTGTTTTTCTAAAACTCGGGGACCTCTTGAAGTTGTTGATCTAAAACTCCTGGACCTCTTGGATGAGTTGGGTTATAGTTCCTAGTTCTGTTGAGAGTTTTGAGATATAGTTTTTCCTCCTAAATTTAGCGTGAACTGAAATATAGGGAAGGAGTTCAAGGGTTGTGCTACGGGGGATACATGTCTCGAATCACGCAGCGACCGAAATAGTCTAGTGTTTTAATAGATTACCGTGTGTGTAAAAGAACACCCCAACACCGCGTTCGATCTCTCGTTCAGCTCCTCTTGTAAAGTCCCATCCATAACTTAATGCACATTACATCTATTAATTTTTATCCAAAGCTGATTTACTGAACTGACTTCGAATTCTTTCTTGAAGGGAGGTGTACTTTGATGCTGGTGAAGGGCTCTTGATCTGAGAAATTAGTGCTACCTTACCCTTCCTCCGATCAAACCTAATTGCCTGCTACTCCCCAGGCGCACTTTAACACTTACAGGTTTAGCACTTCTTTATGATTATAATAATAATAATAATAATAATAATAATAATAATAATAATAATAAAATAATTTTAATTTAAAAATAATTATTATTATTATTATTATTATTTTTATTATTATTATTATTATTATTAATTTCTTTTGTACTTGTATGGTTGTTTCAGTGGGTCATCATGCAGCGCATGATGACCCACAGAATACACTATATAATAATTTTTAGCACAAATTGAATTAATAAATATAGATAGACACTTAAACTATTCCTCGGAGCCCTATACGTAGTTAATAGTATAGTAGAATGAATATTAATATATTAGAGTACCGGTATGGCTCATATTCATAATGTAAAATAGTCGAGAATTTTAGTGATGCTGTTTCAGTGGTCAACTATTATTTATTTTATAAATCAGGGGAAAGCGCCAAATACGTAGGGGTTATACAGCGCCTGGAGAATGGGATGCATTCAGCCTCGAGCTAAGGAAGAGGATATGTTCTATTTCTTGAGTCAAGAACTCCTCAGTAGCAGGTTACAAGATCTTGTTACTTATCTTAAGTGCAGATCAATATTCTAGCAAACAATAAACAATAAATATAAAAGATGTCTTCCGTGAACAACCGAGTTTGCAAATTCTGAGTAATATTTTGGCATAAGCAGTCTGGTGGCAGACACCTCCAAAAAAAAAAAAAGTGTGGCTATTTAGGGCATCGCCAACAGATAAATTGCAGGGTAAAGATGCAAAAGTCAGAGGAAGCGTACACACATAGGGGTATATAAGCGTGTGTTCCATTGGTGTAGGTATCAGGTGTTGCAGGATCTCTGCCAACCGCACCTCACGTTACAGGTGGATGCGCGAGTCGTGTGTTTGTCGAGGGTGGCCCAGGATCCTACACACAACCTCCGCCATATCTCCCGCAACACAGGTCAGTAACACACTGTTTGGCTCGGATAATGTAAGCAAAACATCACTGAACATCTAGAGAGCAGAAGGCTCCTTATAAATCGTTCAGGAAACTAAGAATTTAAGTGGTATTTGGCGATTAACTTCAGCAAACCTGGAGTGTAGCCTGTGTGCTCACCTGGCCGCCAGCTGCCAGAGGTGCGTCAAGGACCTGTAATTTACTCTGTCCTCGTTATCCTGCATAACCAGTGTTCGGTTTTCAACGAATTTAGTCGCAAGTGTATTATATGTGTTTACCAGGCAGCTGTTACCCTTCAGTATATTTTCAGTTATTGTTTACATTATCATTACATTGTGTACATGTAAACTAATTTATTATGTAACATTTATTATGTAAACCAATTTATTATGTAAACTAATTTATTATGTAAACTAATTTATTATGTAAACTAATTTATTATGTAACCTAATCAACCATCAGGGTTATACAGTACCTTGATATTGACTATAATTTCTGAGGGATGTGTACTAGGCTAGTCTATATTCACTCCGGAAGTATTTTGAATAGTTAACATCAACCTGTATAATAAATAGTACAATACGCTGTAAAAATAGTACCTGAACTTTGTGTACAGTAATGTCTGTATAATACCTGCACTTCGTTGGCATCTAGATGTGTGTATTATTATCGAAGCAATAGTGAGCGAAAATGAGAAAGTTTCGTTAAGGGAAGTATGACCCTGGTAGGTTTAGCGCTTCCTTTTGATTGATAATAATAATTTATTAAGATAAGTTAAAAATATATAACAAAACTCGAATTTCTATTCATATAGATTAGTAATTTTTATGGACTAGAAATTACTCATTAATTTAATACTTAAGAAATCAGTATAAACTCGAGTAGGCACTATTTATGTCCCCATGGTTATTTATAGACCTTTCTTTTCTTCTTTTTGTATAGGGAGACTGAAAATAATTTCAATGCTGGTATGTATGTAGTCTATTTTTATAATGTATACACCATTATAACGGGCTTATATTATTTGTCGCATGAGGACAAGAGTGAAACACTTGTAAAACGAAGTTCATATAATATCGTCATTCACGGGTCTTACTGCAATAAATAAAGAAATGCTGAATGTGTTAATTTAGGGATGAAAATGACAATACGTACATTAGGAGTGGCCTAAGTTCCAGGACAGAACGTGTTCTATAAAATTCTATAAAATGTCCTAGTGTTTACATTTTGTCTCTCCAAAAATGATGATAGCTTTGGTGTCCACCATATGTGAGTCTTAATAGTGATGGGACGATACCGATGTTCAGTTTTAGACCGGTACCGATACCTTCAACATTAGCCGATACTCACCGATACCAGTTCCAATACTTTGGCACATCCCTAAACTATAATGTTTTAAGCCTGTTTAACTTATCAGTGTTATTAAGAAGATACTACATTTCTGAATAGGATATTAATTATGCTTTCACCAACTGAAACTAAATTGAGGCCCAAAACGTTGTTTATAACCTTAGGTCAGGTCAAGCGGGCTAGCTCCAGGATCTAAAGGCAAGTTAGAATCGTTCAAGTCCAGTTGCATAAGCTGAAGGAAGTCAACCTTCGCATGCTAGCTCAAACCCAGGAACGCTTAGGTTAGGTAAGGTTTGTCAGGAAACAGGACAGGTGTTTCCTGACGCGGGTCTTAGTCATATGATGACCCGCCACTGGAGCTTTTGGTCAACTGACCGAGGCCTTCCGCTAGCTTATCGATCCACCCCTTTAAAAATTAATAGTTATTATTATAACTTTAAACACTCGTGGAGTGTAGTCTAGTGGAACTAATTTCATATTTTCACACGACATAAAGTCTGCCTCGGGAGATATTTAGGGTGTTACATCACTGGCGAGTGGTATATTAAGTGTGAAAGGAAGAAATTATTCTTATTAGACCACACGCCACGTGTTAGTATGCGAAAGTTGACTACCTTCAACTCAAACTTATAAGGAATCGATGGCGAAGATGATAGAGGTACCATAATTCCATTATGTAGGATTAGTTAGGATGCGAGAGTTATGGGTTTGAGTCTCACGTCGGCTAGTCGCTATTAACCATAAAAATGTTAATACACCATTCGTTAGTGGCGTCGCTTCGTGTGTATTATAAATATATATTATATTATACACACATACGCAACATCGGCAAGATAAATTATGGAATAATGGTAGAATTACCGACACAATGTTAGGTAAAAGGACTCAGACGCAAATAATGTGACATTTTATTTTGGTAACGTTTCGCTCTTCAGGAGCTCCTGGAGAGCGAAACGTTGCCAAAATAAAATGCCACATTAGTTGCATCTGTGTCCTTTTACCTAACGAGATAAATTATGTATGCACCCACCAGGCGTCGTCACAGATCGTTAGATAGCAAATAGCCCCTGGCGTCATTATCAACGTTTGATTTAAATACATCTAGTGCATTGAGGAGCTCACTCGTTGAGGAGTCGTCCTTTCCCCCAGCAGGGAATTAATACATCTCATTCAGTAGTCTTGTTTTACTTAAAGAGGGGTTATGTCTCTCCAGTTCGTTGGATCAAGAGCTCTTTAACAGCATCAAGGCAATCCTTTTAATGAGATTTGATGAATAGCCTACATCTTGTGCTGGTGAAGAGCTTTTGGTCCAAGGAACTGGAACAAAGCTACCCTTCTGTGGATCGAACCTAATTGCTTTCCATTCCCAAAGTATTGTATGACACGGTTTTAGTGCTTCCTCGTGGATACAGTACTGTAATAAAAATTATTTCTGTTTATCTACAGGCGGGATGAGGTTGCCACTATGACCGGGGCTGACCTAACCTCTGTTGTAGTTGTCCTGCACCATAACAACCACAATAACAACAATAACAAGCTGAAGGATCGTCGGTCGTGTCGTAGGTCTACAGAGGAGTCATTAGACTGCCACTCCTCTGATGACGCTGACCTCTGGAGCCACAAACGGGCCATTGGTAAGTATTTAGCCTCGGTGCGTATCTCCTTACTACACACAACCCTTCTTGGGCCGACTGGGCAGTGCTGGGAGGAATTTTGTCAATGCAAGTAAACTCAGTGTATAAATACTGAGAGATTTATGTCGTGCCGAATAGGCAGAACTTGCCATCTTGGCTTAAATAGCAACGCTCATCTTGCCATATAGGACAAGTGAAAATTTGTGTATGCAATAATTTCGCCAAAATCATTCTGAACCTAACGAAAATTTTTTATTTCACTGTGTTTGTTTAGTATTAAATTACTGTAAACAAATCTAAAATATATTTAGTTGGGTTAGGCTAAAATAAATTGCTCTTGTTATAATAAGGTTAGGTAAGTTTTCTAAGATTCTTTTGGTGCAAAATTATAAATTTTTACATTAACATTAATGAAAAAAATATATCTTTAAACGTATAAGAGAAAATTTTAGAAAGGACTTAATTTTAAATGAGTTCTTGCTAATTGACCAGTTTTACATATTCGGCACGACATTTACATATCGGTGTATATACAGTGATGCACGACTCCCGATGTAAATCTACCGAGAGATCTTTCACTGTATATACACCGAGAAGTATGTATTTCTAGTGTATAGTCATAGGTGTGTATTTAATCTAATGTAAATACACTAAAAGGTGTGTTAATGTATATACCCCAAAAGGTGCGTATTTGTCAGTGTATATACACAGAAGTATATATATCTGCGCATATATACGATAACTATATTTTTGTGCATATACACCAAGAGGTGTATATCGGTGCATATACATCGAGAGTGTGTATATAGCAGTGTATTATATATATATGAGAAGTATACATCGAGAATGTGTATATGGCAGTGTATTATATATATGAGAAGTATCTATACAGTTGTGTATCTTAGTGTATATACACCAAGAGGTCTGTATCTTTTAGTGTATATACCCCCAGAAGTGTGTAGCTTCCAGTACATATACACAGGGGTGTGGATCATTCAGTATCTAGAGACCCTCCATTTGCTAATTTTGTTGTCATCTTACAGTATATATACACCGAGAGGTATATATATTTCAATGTATATACACGGATAGATGTGCACAGGAGTTGTGAATCGATCCCTGTATTTACATATAGGTGAGTACACCTCTGGGTGTATATACCCCTGGTAGGGGTGGCGGTGGTGTGGGGAGTGTAAAGCATCCCTACGATAGTTCGCCTTTAAAACTGTTTCTGTGTAGGATGATTGTGCTCTCGCGTCGTAGGGTGGGGAGGGAGGGTAGTATAACTTTAATATTGTATTTGCAATAATTATTAGTCTTTCTAAAGACAGAACACATTCTGTACGTTCCCAAATAAGATACAAAATCCAAGAATTCCCAGTGAAATAAATGCTGTTTGGTTATGTTGGCTTTTCCTAAGTAAACTCTTCTTGCCCTTTTTCCTTTTGTAGCCTAGAATAATCTGATTTTTGCAGTCATTCTAACTGGGAAAATTGTTTTAAATATTGGCAAGCGTGTGGAAGAGTATATATAATGAGAGGTATATGCCTCTGCATTTACATTAAAAATTTACTTTAATCCCTGAAAAAGGGTGAACAGGTTACGTGCAGCCTTACTGTCCTTCGTCTAGTCGGCTTTAAACCTTGTTAACCAGCCAAGAATATATACAGCTAGAGGTGTATGACTCTCAGTGTATATATAACGAGGAATTATTTAGGGATTAAAATATTCTTTATTAATAGTGAAGAGGTTACATACAACATTAAGATTACATTTAACCTGTTTAACGACAGTCAACAATACTTTAACCCCTAAAATATGAATTAACCTACACCAAGACCGAGGCAGGAATATGAAGACAACAACAAAACAGTGGTTGACACTATAGCAGAGGCAGCTAGGAGGCACACACGCCTAAACAAAAGCTAGTTGTTAAGGGTGATTTCAACAACAAATAGATTGGGAGAAATGGGACCCACATTGGAAACCGAAAATATGGAGGGATAAGTTGATGGAGGTGTTCAGGGATTACTTTATGTGTCAGCATGTGAAGGATATGAAAAGAGAGAGAGTTCTGTACTGAATGGTTACTAGCGCCCAACAGTACCAAACTTGGAGTACCTTGTAGACCTGAACGTAAAAGGAAGAACAGCAAATGGGAAGAACGAGAAGCCAGACTTTAAAAGACAAACTTTACTGGGATGAGGGAATTCCTGAAATCTGTGCAGCAGAAAAGGAAACTGAAAGGAGAGTCAGCAAATTAAATGGAGTACGTAGTTGGAAAGTGCTAGAATGGCGGAGGGGTGGGGCAGAGGCGAACCTCGTACTCAGAAGGGGAAACTAGCAGACAGGAGAGCATTTGGTTCAACCAGAGTTGCAGAGAGGCTAAAAAGAGAAGCGTAAGAGCATAGCTTGGTTTATAGGAAGTGAAGGACAGACAAGAACAGAACGGTGAGCAGATTAGCCAGAAATCATCGTGCAAGGGTGAGGAGAAAGACTGAACGACAATTTGAGGATGACATAGCAATCAAGGGCAAGTCTGAACCAAAAATGCTTCAGAACCACACAGAAGAAAGACGAAAGTAAAACACCAGGTAATTTGACTGGAGAAGAAAAGAGGAGGGCTCACAAACAATGATAAGCCTGCGAAGTGTTAAATAAACGATTTGAAGAGGTCTTTGTAGTGGAAACAGAGGCAGTACCAAAAAGCCTAGGAAAGAGAATGCGCCGAAAGATATTTGGTACAGTTCAAACAACAGAGAAAGAGGTAAAAAAAAAAATGATGCATCGAAAGCAACGGGACTTTGAAAGGTGTCATCATGGATTCTGCGAGGAGGAGCTGAAGCATTGTCTGAACTAATAGCTAAGATCTACAAGTCAATGAACATGGGACTGTTGCCAGCGGTTTGGAAGATAGCGAATATAGTCCCTATATTTAAGAAAGGAGTTTAGGTAGAAAGCGTTGGACTACAGTCCAGTTTCGCTGACATGTATATCGTGCAAGGTAATGAAGAAAATTAATTAGTGGAATGGTAGAGCACTCGGAGAGAAATGGTTTTATAAGCAATATCCAGCATAGGTTCACAGATGGCAAATCTTATCTTACCAATCTGTTGGAATTCTATGACAAAGTAATGAAAATGAGACGAGAGAGAGAGAGAGAGAGAGAGAGGGGGCGTGTGGGCGGAATGTATTTTCTTACACCGCAAGACGGCATTTGATGCTGTACCCCACAAGAGACTAAGGTAAAATGTTAAGGTGTAAGCAGAAATAACAAGGAAAGTAATCTGGTTGATTAGAGTACCTTAGGGGAAGAAAAGCAGAGTTATTGTTCGGGAAGAGATGTCAAAATTGTGAAAGGTAACAAGCAGGGTTCCCTAAGGATCGGTATTAAGACCAGTACTCTTTCTGGTTTATGTAAATGACATCAGACGAGGCTGAGTTGGATATCCTGTTTGCTGACGGTGTACTTCCACTGAGAACGGAATAAAGCTGTAAATGGATATGGGCAAACTGCAGGATTATTTAGATAAGCGGTTGCTTAAATTCAACCCCAACAAATGCTACGCTCTGAAGATTGAGGAAGGGGCTAGAAGACCGGACACGGAGTATCGACCCAGAGGACAGAGGCTGAAGACCTCACTCAAAGATAAATACCTAGGGGTAAGCATAGTCCCTAGCGGCCCTGACAGGAAGAGAGCAGCAGCTGGACTGTACCACAATGGTCACACACAAGGCTGGCGACTCCCTGACCACTGCACGATCCTTCAAGCTGAGCTGGTGGCGATTCAGCAGGCATTGTCACATGCCCTACGACATCGACTCCGACCTGTCATACATGTTGATTCCACGTCTGCAATCAATGCCCTCTCCCATCCTCAACCACAGGACAATGTTCACCTCATCACATCGATCCTGAGCATAATGACAGCCTTAGAAGTTCAGGGTAACAGATCGACATTAAACTGGATCCCCAGCCATGCTGGCATCCGGGGAAATGAGGCGGCAGATGATGCAGCCAAGGCAGCAACAGACTATCCACATGTTGGGATTACTGTCCCAATCAGCCTACGACAGACCAAACTGGTGGCTGCCAGAGCCATGATACTTATGGGGGAGGTCTTAGGTGATACCCCATCTCAACAGTGGTACCGAGCAGCGACTCAGGGAGAACCCCTCCATATGATAGAAGCTGGTCCAGAGCGCAGTGTACCGCCATCCATCGGCTTCGTTTGGGCTTTCCCACAGCCAAGATGATGGTAGACAAGGCTGAGGAGATGTGCCAGTACTGTCAGCACGTTGTCCAGCGGCCCCTAACACACTATCTTCTGGAGTGCGAAGTTACTGAGACACTCCGCAGGCAACTAGGAGTGATATTCCCTCCCGAAGAGGAACCAGAGATGACTGCGGCCACACTAGTGTACCATGGAGTCAACGAACCAGACAAGCTGTTACCTGTGATAACGACATATCCTCCTCCTCGCTAGTGTCCATAGTTAGGAGTACATACGGTGTTGTCGCTTATGAGATGCACCAGTTGAACTGACCAGAAGAGTGCTTGAACAGCATATGTCGCATCATTGTAGAAACCTTTCTCTCTCGGGAGCCAGAGACGGGTCATCGCAAGATTGAGACCCGTGCCAGGACTACGGTCTTGGCGAACATTATACATACACACATAGTCCCTAGCATTTCGTCAGAGGCTGACGTCAGCATAATAGCCTCTGTAGCCAATATTAGCCTAGCAAATCTATGGGTGGCCTTTAGGAATCTCACCGAAAAGTCGTATGTCAGACATATCTTGTATGCAGCACCGGCATGGAACCCACACGAGAAAACGTGAAGAGACTGGAGAACGTACAGAGGTATGCGGCGAGAGGAGTTCCATAACTAAAGGGCATGAACTACGAAAAGAGGCAACAACAGGAAGAGAATAGAAGAACCAGAAGACATGATAACATGCAAACTACTCAAAGGAATTGATGGAGTAGAGAAGAATA